AGTTGCCTTTTGCTTTGTTCTCTTATCGAACCTCGGTACGAACCTCGACTGGGGCAACTCCGTTTTCACTAGCCTATGGAATGGAAACAGTGCTACCCATTGAAGTTGAGATTCCGTCTCTTCGGGTCTTGACAGAAGTCAAACTAGACGATGCAGAGTGGGTACAATCCATATATGATCAGCTTAATCTGATAGAGGAAAAAAGACTGAAAGCCATTCATCATGGTTAAATCTATCAGAAACGAATGATTCGGGCATATGACAAAAAGGTGCACCCGAGAATATTCCGCGAAGGGGATCTAGTGTTAAAAAGAATTCGTCCAGTCCAGAAAGATTTCCGAGGAAAATGGACGCCAAATTGGGAAGGACCTTATGTCGTGAAAAAGGCTTTCTCCGGAGGAGCCCTCGTCCTGGCTGAAATAGACGGACCTGAACTGCCACATCCCATCAACTCGGACGCAGTCAAGAAATATTTCGCTTAAGATGAAAACCCGAAAGGGCGTCCTAAGTTGGAAAAAAAACGTTTAGGGTGAAAACCCGAAAGGGCGCCCTAAATTGAAAAAAACAAGAAAGCGTTTAGGGTGAAAACCCGAAAGGGCGCCCTAAATTGAAAAAAAAAGAAAAAATAGAAAAACAAACAAAAGAAGAGAAAATAAGGTGGGTTCAAGATGAAAACTCGCAAAGGGCTTCTTGCAACCAAGGATGGGTCCAAGTTGAAAACCCGGAAAGGGCGATTTGGATATTAACGGTGGGAACATCCCGACACATGAATCTTCTACGAACTCAACAAATCGGAGAAATGTTGCACTCTCCCAAACGTTGTCGCATTTTCAAAGATCCTTTGGCAAAGGCTGCATTCAAGGTCACCAAACGGTTTTTCAGCTCAGAAGTGCCCACATTATCGAGATCTAAGACATTCATTTACACATCATCGTGTATTCGTTTTCTAGAATGTTTGCCATGTATTATTTGTTCTTCTCCTCCCTTATGAATAAAGACAATCTTTCCTCTAATTCCTTTTGAGCATCTTGAATTAGATTTAAACCTAATGATTTATTTATTTTTGTGAAAGATAATCACATATTACTGCACAAAGATTCATTGAAAAGTACATACACCCAGAAGCCGATCAAGGCTCATGCACATGCTTGAGATGGTTGAGGAGCATCTCCCAAATCAAAAAAAAAGAATGTGCACATCAGATTTAAACATTTGAAGAATTCAAGATTAGATATCAGAACTTCAAGCTTTCAAAATCAAGAGTCAACAATGACAGGCCACCAGAGATCGAGATTTCTCTACCAGAGCCCAGAATAACATATGTTGCATATACATTTTAGGCATACCTAAGAGCATGACATCCATAACATCTCATATATGCATATCTTTGCAGGTTTTACCCAGAGTCAATTTCAACTTCACAACGAAGGATATTGGACTCCAGACAACGCAAGTTCAACTTCACGGCGAAGGGACCGCTGGTTGTCAACAAACATTTCTCAATTTCAGAGCCAATTTTAACTTCACAACGAAGGATATTGGACTCCCGACAACGCAAGTTCAACTTCACGACGAAGGGACCGCTGGTTGTCAACAAACATTTCTCAATTTCAGAGCCAATTTCAACTTCACAACGAAGGATATTGGACTCCAGACAACGCAAGTTCAACTTCACGACGAAGGGACCGCTGGTTGTCAATAAACAATTTCCCAATTTCAACTTCACAACGAAGGATATTGGACTCCAGACAACACAAGTTCAACTTCACGACGAAGGGACCGCTGGTTGTCAATAAACAATTTCCCAATTTCAGAGCCAATTTCAACTTCACAGCGAAGGATATTGGACTCCAGACAACGTAAGTTCAACTTCACGACGAAGGGACCGCTAGTTGTCAACAAACAATTTCCCAATCTCGGAGCCAATTTCAACTTCACAACGAAGGATATTGGACTCGAAACAACACAATTTGCTCGAGAGTAGATTTCAACTTCACGTCGGAGGATATCTAACTCGAAGCCAAACTTCACAATAAAGGGGTCTCCACGGTTTCAACTTCACGGCGAAGGGAATTGTGTTCACCCGCAACATACAGTACTTGGATTTCAACTTCACGACGAAGGATATCCAATTCTAAGGCTCAACTTCACGACGAAGGGGCCATATACGATTCCAACCTCACAAACAGATTGACCCAACTTCAAAACGAAGGAGTCATCTGCAACACCACAATACCAAAGTCTTCAAGTCGAGCTTCAGATTCACGACGAAGTATCTTTGGCTAGAAGACGATCCATGAGCTACTTCCCAATACTCTGAGTTCGATTTCAACTTCACGACGAAGGATTCGTGCTCAAAAGCTTCCAGTTCAACTCGACCTCACGACGAGGGAGTTATTTCACATTTCAGTTCAATTTGACAAACCAGTTTCAACATCGGGATCAACTCTACGACAGAGGACATCCGATATGGACGAAATTTGTGTCTTTTAATCTTTGCTCTATTTTCGTTACACGATAATGAGCAAAGAGGGGCAGCTGAAGACACTCAAATTCGTCCACCCATATTACGCTATATATATATATATATATTATCATATTATAATACATATAATTGTTTGTTTATTTATTTGGGTACAGGTCCAATAAAAGATAATTTACAGCAACCCAGGCCCAGTGCAGCAGCCCAGTCTCGACCCAGTAGACCAACGACCCACACCAAATCAGCTAGGGTTTTGAAACCCTAGCTTTTCATCCCATTCCAGTGCCGCTTTGGCCGGTCAATGCTGCAACTGTCCCCGAAGTCCCCACGCCTCCAACTTCCCGATTCCTCCGGCGCAAGGAAAGCACACGAAGCCAACCGCCAACAACAAGCAAGGCAACGTGTTAGTTTAGGACTTCAACAACCAAACCGAGTTTTACTCGGATTAAAACTCTAAAGTAGGCTTGTATAAATACATGTAACTAGAACACTCACAGGGGATTTTTTACACACACGGTTGTACACACAAACACTGAAACAAAACACGCAAAAATAGCAGTGAACCGAATCGTCTTGTACTGATTTTGAAGTGAAATAAAAAAGGTATCATTTTTGTTTTACCTTATTGAAACTTCTGATTTTGCATGCATGATTTCTCTTTTCCTTGTTGACTCAAAACGTCGATGAACGAAGGGGTTATTTTTCCGAAACATTTTCGTTAGATCTACAACCCCTCGAGGCACGTTTTAAAAAAAACAAGTGGGATTTTTGAAAACTACACGAGAAGAGCTCTCGGAAAAACCAATTTTTTTTATGATTCGCCACCGATGAACGGCGGCCGACGAGGAGGCGTGGGAGCGGCCGATGGCCATTTCTGGGCTCATACGGTGGCTGTTCTTCATTTTGAAGAACATCCGAGAGAATTTCGAAACAGAGGGGGGGTTTCATGTTTTGGAAATGAGAAATGAGAAATTAAAAGAGAAAAATGGACTTTATAGCAAACCCGTTTGGATCGTAACCCGACCTATATTTGCCCAGGATCCGCGTGTTTCTTTACTGGGAGAGAGAAAATTCGGTTTTAGTCCCCCCGAGTTGCAATTTATTCATTTTGACCCCAAATCGATTTTTAAACACGAATTCCTTTTAAACTCACCCCATAATTTTGTTTCCCTTTTAATTTAATCATTTTATTTATTTTTTATGTATTCTTTTTATACGAAAATATATATGTATATTATTTTTATTTTATTTTAATAATTTTATTATTTCTTTTTATTTGTTTATCTTATTTTATTTTATTTTATTTGTTTTAATGTTTTGTTTAAACATTATTGTATGTATATTATTTCTATTTCTATTTCTATTTTAATCTTTTTTTATTATTTTTATTTTTATATCCTGTTATATACATTTTATTTATTTTTATTCTGTTTTCCTAATGTTTGTGTGTATACGTATATGTTTTCTATTGCTTTTTAATTGTTTCATTAAATATTATATTATATACATATATTACTAACTTTGAATTATATCTCATATGGGCCCTCTTTTGTCTCCACTCAATCATTTTTTTCGGTGCCTTAATTATAGTAGTGAGTTTTGTTTTTTTTTACTTTATTATAATATATAAGATTTTCCTCTCACATTTTTTTCCTTCTTGAGCCCCCTCCTTTTTTTTTTATTGTCTCCCCCTAGATTTCATAAGGTAGGTTTTATTTTGCTTTCTTCTTTATTATAATTATAGTTACTATATACATTTTATTATTATTACTATATATTCTATATACTTTTTTAACATTTTATGCATATATATCTTATCTATTCCTTTAATTTTGCTTTATTTTATTTGTTTTTTTATTTTTTTTATTATATTCGTTTTCACTTTTTTCCTTCTAACATTTTTATCTTTTAAGGGTATTTCAATCAATCAGAGGTAAGTTTCGGATCGTTATTTTACCTTTCAATTTAAACTTATGATTTTCTTAACAAAGACAACTGGAAATTACATAGTATCGAAAGGGCAGTTCAAGGGTGCTAACCCTTCCTTGACTGTAACCGACTCCCGAATCCGACACATCTTTGGTAAGACGCAGATCAATTAAAAATAAGGTATCCGATCAACCCGTTTTATTCTTAAAATAAATGATCGGTGGCGACTCCAATCCACATTTTTCAAGTCGAAGCCCAAGTTCGAGGACCAACCGAAGGACGGTTGCGACAATCCGCATTTAGTTATACTGGGTACTGGACTTGCATTCGGGTTCCTTGTGGTAAAAGCTTGCTTGTTTATTCTGTCATATGTACTCTTTGAGATTGTCATTGGTATCTTAAAAGTGAATGGTTTCGACAGGGACGGATGATTTTGGCTCACCTATGCGATGAACCAAAGGGATTAAAAACCAACATGTGCATGGTATGTAGCATTCTTGATTTTACTACATTTTGATCGATTTGGTTACGAAAAATGGTCGATTGTACAATATTTGTTCGCAGTCACTCTTGTATCTTCCGTTGGCGATTGCAAGTGCTCTTACAGCTAGATTAAACGACGGGTATGTCTGTCGGATTGCGGTTTCTAACCAGAATTATCGCAGTTTCTAGCTGTTTTTTCCGAAGAACATGAATGCTAATGTTGTTTTTTTTTCTCCATCCTTTTTCTAGAGTCCCGTTGGTCGATGAGTTCGTTGTTCTCCTCGGTTACTGTTTATTCACAGGTAAAGCAGCTGCCTTATACCAACCTCTTCAGTTTCAAAGTCTAGGAACATGCTATTCTTAAACTGATTCAACGTCGAACCGGTCCCGGTTCCGGTCTCGAGATCATGTCTTTCGATGTTCCTTCGACACATTGATATGCTTGCTGTTACGTTTTTCCAAACAGGATCACTCTACTTTCACTTCACCACATCTGTTATTCGCGAAATTACGACGGCTTTGGGAATTTATTGCTTCAGGTTAGGAATGTTGTGCATGGAACTTCAATGAGTTTCGGGTCCATTTCTGCAAAAAAGATTCAGTGTTTCTGACCATTTATCTCTTGCTTAAAATGACAGGATAACTCGGAAAGAAGCTTAAACAGTCTTCCGAGGAAACATATGTTTTCGGGTTTGGTATCGTCGAGCGGAATATCTGTCAACCGGACAGTCTTCCGGGAAGCTTCTCAGAAAGCCAAAGCAACCAGGTCTGAGCTGATGAATTCTCCTCGTCAGAGAGATACTCTGATCTTACCGATGACGTTTCGTTGCCGGTGCATGTGTCTATGCATTGCAGTCATGATTTTCAAAGAAAATCACATATTCTCATAACAAATTTGGCAGGCATAATACTATTTCACTTGCAATGAACATAAACTACAGCAATCTGCTCAGTAATGTTATTATTCACTTGTGCTCTATTAACAGACAAATAATTTATTAATCTTGAATGAATAAAATTTCTGCTTGAGCCGAGGCTCGTCTAAAACTCAACAGCTCGATTAACATATTCAGTCTTCCGTCCATGACATATACGCAAGGCGAGATACTCATCGTCTCGAGCGCCGGTGAATTCGTGAGAAGGAATTTGATGAACTCCATCTCGTGAGGCACACCGGACATATCCGTCATCTTCACAAGTTTGAGTTGTTTGAACGTGCAATCCGAAGGGAGTTCATCATCCCAAAAGTCCAAATCGGGTGCATCTATAGCAGCTAATGTGTTCGAGGAACCCTAAAGCGAAACGAATAAGACCTCGACTCTAACCGAAATAATAAGATAGTACATGAAACAGAAACATAAATCGAAAGCAAGACCGTAGCACTCACCGAAATTTGAAGTTCCCTCAGATTAGGAGAGTTAGTAATCAAGTGAAGAACGACGAGTACCTCCTTCATATCTTCAAACTTACTTGATTCAATTCAACTACCTTCAGATGCACATATGTAATAGGAAGTCTTCCAAGGTTAACAAGCCAAAAGTAGAAATCAGACATAGTTTTACCTTCGTAAAGTATATATGCCCGATGAGCCTCTCAAGACGAGGCACACTGCCAAGAAACCTGTTAAAGTTGCAGCTTGAGCTTTGCTCAAAGTGTTCAGCTATGTCGTCGGTCATATACACAGCAACCGACATTGCAACTAAAAGTGGGGTATTTTCCAGACAAATATCTTTGAATTCACCTTCCAGACACAAATACTTGAGATTCGGAGCTCGGATAGTAAGCGCTAGACTATCGAAGTACGACAATGCTAAGCTCTCAAGAAGAGGGCAACTAGATATAAGACTTTCAATTGCCTCAGGGGAAACCAGACGGGTCAGCTTTTTACAGTTAAAAAGACAAGAAGGAACCCTAAACCACTCTCCCTCTCCCAATTCAAGAACCAACTCCTTGATGTCATTCCTCGAGAGGAAAAGTAACCATTGATCTATATCCGGGCAGCACTGCAAGTGCGAAGTCGTAAGCTGGAACTTATGAATAGGCCCTTGGTGCAGAAAAAGAGTCCGAGTGATGAACTTAACAAGACTATCCTCGACTTTACATCGATCATTCGATGAAATCACACACTTTTCATCAAATACAAGTTGAGTAAGCGTTGCCCATTTATACCTCCACCTACTCGATAAAATGCTAGTTCTAACAGCATCTCAAATCGGTAAACGCGTGAGGATACCTTCTACAATGCTCTGAGGCAAATCACTAATCAAATCCGGAGCCAAAACATCACCCATCTGCATAATTTTAATTCTATATATCACTCAATTATTAAAGGTCGAAACTTTCCACATAAACTAATAGAAGCATAATCCGTAATCTTTGATGAAAGATTTCTGGGTAATTTAGGGTTCTAAAAAATGGGGTTTTCTCATAAATCCCATCAGTGAGGAAGAAACATATCATAAGAGATGGGATCAAACAAAATTGAGAGAGAACATAGTCACAAAACAGTGAATACATGAGATTCAAGATTATAAAAGCGAGAAGAGAAGACTACCCTAGGATAAAATGGGGAACCCAGAGACAAGTTATGGCTTCTTCATTAGATCACATCGCAGCCAAAAATAAAGGAAGAGCCCTGATCTTGAATTCTTGATGGTTGAAGGTTGGAACTTTTAGTTCATTTACGCATTGGGTTTTTGAGTTAGGAGGCTGGTGGCCCAATTAACAAATAATTATTTTTTTATAAGCAACAAATAATCATTTAAAATGTATTTAATTCAAAATCAATTCTTTGTAGGGTATATTGACTTCAATAGGATCTTGATCGAGCTGTGATTTCTCTCCGGTTCTCTCATGAAGGAAATTACTAAGGTTGTCTAACTGATGCATGATCTGTCGTTGTCCTCGTGCAACGCTCGATATCTGCGTTACAAAACAACATTAGACACATTCGAATTAATAAGGTATAAGGCCTACTTGCATCCTCACTATGAACTCCTAGCCATTTGATGTCTGCTGAGGGAGAAAAACTGATCTCGAAATGGTTTTATAAGCAATTGTCATACGGCATCTAGATGACCTCTTGAAAGATAAAATCGTGAAGACAGAACCAGGACTCTCGAACTCATACCGAGTATAATTCAAGAACCTATGACCCCCAGAATAAAAAGTTCGAATAAGGGGCATATGAGACCGGTTACAGTAACTCTTCCATAATAGGTGAATCCTTAGCCAGCTGGGAGGATGATAAGGAATTGAGCATAATGGAACCATTTCCTAAACCATTAATGAAGTGAGAGGTTGGAGCAGAGACATTGCAGGATTCAGCCTGGAAAGCCAAGTTTTGTTGGCTGGACGTAGGATTCTTGACGGCTAACTTGGAATTCAACTCTTCGTTACGCGTTGTAAACTCGTCCATTCTATCATTCAGAGAGGATATCTGTTCCGAAAGCTGAGCGATGACTCCCTACAAAATGCAGAAGAGTAATGCAGGAGAAATAAGCATTTCACCGGTAAATTAGCATGAGATCATTCACAGAGCTATACAACCTAGCTAAAAACCTCATTCGCTAGAGCTGACTCTGGATTCCGCTCACCAAACCTCCTGCTGTTCACATCATATCCAGCAAAGTTCGACATATTCTTCTCTCTTTGAGTTGAATACGAACGTGACATGCCACTGTTTCTGTAAACATGAAGTCTATTTAGTTAGATCCACTCATATAGGTCATAAGCATTCATATGCTGCATAAAGTGATGTGTCGAATGTTTGTACCTTTTGAGATGCCTATTTCTCAAGGCAACCCTATCTGCCGAGGCTCGCATGACCGCTTCTTCGGGCTATTGTATAACCCAAGGATATTAGCCCACCAAAGAGGCGCACACTAACTTCAAACGTAATTCTTGGAGATATTACAAATGCAATATCGGTAACCCATTCCTGAAAACAAGCATCACAAACTATCATATCAGACTTTCTTGAACAGGTAGTGTCTTAACAAACATATTAGAAAAAGAACTTCAATCCAGCATTTTCTTCTTCGGCTAACTTCATTCGATGGAACAAGGTCATTGGACCAGACACTTTATTTTTCATAATTAATATCTGCTTCGAGCACATACATACTTTCTCAACGTCTCTACAGTTATACCTCCAGTGTCCTATAACAACTTAACTGCTGTAATGCAAGATGACCGGTGGAACTGTCGGTCACTAATGAGAATATGAGCTCACATCTAAAGGGATTCAACTTGTGAAAATAAGAGGCATAAATCTGAGGGAAAAACCTCAAACATAAGGCTGTATTTTCCATCTTTATTCCGCATCCGCAGATATGATTGACAAGATTCGGGATCTTCACCAGAAGGTAGATATCATAAGTTTGCCCCTCTTTCTCTGTATGTTCTTCAGATAAGACGCTCTTAATTTGATCGACTGTTAAAGATGTGACACAACATTTATTGTCACAGGGAAGTCATCATAAATATGGACAGAGAGATAAAAAAGGAACAACAACCAAGTACCTCAAAGATGAGTCTATCGAGAAAGAAACGAACAGGGGGGAAGAACAGAGCAAAGAGAGGAAGGACAATGAAATCTCCTTAAGCAGGGTATGCTTCTTGCTCCCAGTCCATTGATTTGATAAACTGAATCGAACCCATTTTTGATTATCGATCTTTGATCCAAAGTTTTTCTCGGGAAACAATCAGGAAAAAAATGAACACGACAAAGTGCGTGAACTGTGGATCACATGCACACAGAGTTGCAACAATGTCCTCGTCTTCTCTGTTTCTAATCTTTTAATTTTACTTTATTTATGGTTTAATTTTTTCTCCAGTCCTTATTCTCTTTCGACTTTAAAATTTTAGGCTAACTTTCGTCAAAGGCCATTAAAATATATTCAAATGATCCTTTTAGTCACTAAACTTTTATAAATTTATTAAATTATCACAAAATATCACTTCAATGTAACATAAAATTTAATCTCTTTATTTCTAATTCCAAAAATCTAAACTTAATGAAATTCCATTAAATACTAATATGTGATGTTTTAATATTCAAAGTTCTAACTAAAAATTTAAGTTCAAAGGATTACACATAATCAAATTTAATATAATTTTTTAGGAGGTTTAATAATATAAAACATATATATTTATAAGTTAAATAGGAATTATTGATGAAATTAAAATTTGTATTCTTGTGAAAGTATTAATGTTTTAAATAGGGATTATTGATTAAACATACATATTTATAAGTTAAATAGGGATTAAACTATTATTTTATTAGGATTATATTTTTTTATAGAAGCGGCTAATTTTATTAAAAACATGAAATTCCAGAACTATGATGAAGGTTTACAAGAATAATTATAAACTAAACATATAATTAGGACATTTTCATATAATAACTAGTCACCTACTTCACACAATGACCAAACGTGGAAAAGGTTAAAAAACCTAACCAAAAAGCTCGGACAAAAGACAGATACGAACAAATCTGATTGCATCGGCAAACGAATCACAAAATGGGACGAAGCTACTGAAAGACTACCGGCAAACCATAAATCAGAGTCAGGCGACGTGAGAAAAATAATAATGAACGCAAATCACATATCCAAATCAATCCGAGGGTCCAAAGCAGAGAATATCAGCATGATAACAAATAAGCGTCATCTTTATCAGTCGTGGCGATATCAAATCCAACCCTGATAAAAAAGATAAACAAGAACAACAACCAAACGACAAAAAATATGCCAAAAGACAGAGAAAAGCGTGCTATAAAAACAGAATAAACGTGTCATAACGACAAAATTATTAAAAAGTAAACAAAACAAAGAAAAAAAAACAAAGATGTGATATAAGAAAATAGAGAAAAAAAATACCATCGGGATTACCAACATTAAAATTGGTGCATCCACCTACAACCAAACCAAAGAAGAAAATTTAAAATTTAGAAAGACAAAATTATTAATTGAACTCTGATTTTATATATCTAACATGTAAAAAGACAAACTCTAAGAGTTAAAACTAGAAAGAGTAAATTTAAAATTTTCGGAGAGTACATGGACTTAGGATGGAATTAGACCTTCGTTTATTTATTTACTATTTTTATTTTATTGGAACAATGGAAGTATGCTTTCCTAAAAACCAAAAGCTGATTGGGGATAAAATAATGGATGGGAAAGAATAAATTTATTAGATTCATTATTACTGGCCCTTAGTTTTATTAGATTTTCGAAACAGCCACTCGTTTTTCGGTTCACTAATGCCCTTACGTTGAATTGGGTAAATTACATGTTTAATATATAAACTATCAATTTTGTCTGTTTTAGTACCTAAACTTTCAATTTTTTCAAAACAATACCTAAAGTTTAGTTTTTGTTTCATTTTAGTACATTCGTTTTAAATTTAACATTAAGTTTTGAAAAGATTGAAAGTTTAGGTACTAAAACTGATCAAAACTGATAGTTTAGGTACTAAACGTGTTAAGTTTTTAATGACGAGATACTAAAAAGAAATGAAAATTAAACATTAGGTATGATTTTGAAAATATTAAAAGTTTAAGTATTAAAACAAACCAAAATTGATAGTTTAGATATTAAATGTGTACTTTATCCCGTTGAAATTATAGTTGCTTTGTACTCAATCGTGAATTTAAGTTCAATCAATAGGTGACTAATGAAATTAATTAACAATTTCTTATGATAGTACTACATTTTTACAATAATCATTGAAAGGGATAATTTATATTTTAGATCTTTGGATTTAATTTCAATTTACATTTAGATCACAAATTATTAAAATATTATTCAGTTTTTATATTGATAAATTAAGTCACTTATACTAACATCTTTGGTTGACAAACTCAAATGGACACTTAATCATATCCTTAAACTATAACATTTATTCTAAATTGTACCATACGTCTTCAAACTATAATTCATATCGTAAATTGGTTCCTAAACTTTTGAATTCTTCAAATTTATCTCTAAACTGTGACCTTCATTCTAAATTAATCCTCAAACTTTTAAATGTTTTAAATTCACCCTAAACTATGACCTATGTTCTAAATTATTCCCCATACTTGTGAACATTTTAAGTCCATCCCAAACTATAGTATATGCTTATCACATGCTGTGTTAATAAAATCGTTAGACCAAGCAATATCATTACGTGCTTGAGAAAATTAGGTTAAACTACGATTGAAACAAATTACATATTTGGATGAATTTGGAGATGAAATTTGAAGATTCAAAAGTTTGGGATCGATTTAAAATGAGGGTTACAATTTGAGGTTGAAATCAGAATGTTGGAAAGTTGATGATTAGTTTAAAATGAGAGTCGTAATTTAGAGATGAATATTAAAAAAATTAAGAATTAATTTAAAATGAAAACCATAATTTAAGAACTTATAATACAATTAACTCTAATAAAAATCAAAATAGTAAACAATAAAATATTAAGGACTAAATCAAAATATTTGGTTTAAATTACCTTGGCATTGATCAAGAGAGAATGTACTGAATGATCTGGTAATCCTTTGCATCGAAGCATCTCCGAATGTTAGTCGAACGAAGTAGACAGAAAACTCGACTTTCGCGCGTCATATACGGAACGAGGGCCGTCGTAATCGTTTAGGCAAGATCGAGTTGGTTAAGCTTTGCATTTGCTTTCTCGTCGGCGTGGGCGTGAACTTGATATCCTTATTGTCTACTATGTCTACTACAACTGTAACATCCGCAATACCGGGTTAGTGACTAAATTGAAAAGTTTCAGAATTTGGTGACTAAAGTAGAAGAATGAAATAATTCAATGATTATTGGAAATATATGATGAAGGTTATTTAGTAATTATTAAAGGAAATTAAGGGTATTATGGTCTTTTTCCTTTAAAAGATATTTTTTTTCCTTTTATAAGAGTGGAAAAAACGTGGGAAGAGAGCTATCTGGAAGCTTTCTTCTTCTTGCTTTCTCTTCTTCACGTGGGGCTTAACTACAATAGGTAAGTTGGGTTTTTATAGTTAATTATTGTAAATATTAAGTGGATTTTGATTCTTTGGGTATTAAATAAGCTTAAGGAAAGCTTATATGGGATTTAAACAATAAGATAAAGGAATTAAGAAGGAATTTGTAATATGAGTTTTAAGATGGAATTTTGATATGGTATGGTTGTTGAAGTTTTATGGATGAATTTGACTTGTCATCAATCTAATTAAAAAGTATGAAGTGTTAGAATTGGAATTAGAACACATTGAAAATTTAGTGTGATTCTTGAATGCCATGTAAATGATGGAGTTTTGGGTTTAAAGAAGTGATTATGGAATAGAAATGAGTTTAAATATGTGTATGGACGTTAGGAATATTAAAGGAAGTAAAATATGAAGGTTTAATCTGAAATGAAGTGAATTTCGAGCTCAAAATAGGATTTCTGGGCTAGGGGAATCGATACCCTCTCAAATGACAGAATTCCATAATGTCATGAGGGTATCGATACCCCCAGTAGGGAATCGATACCCCCTAAAGGAAAATTGTAAATATTGGTTTAATAAGTTCGTTTAAGTTGCTAGTATCAAATTACAAGGTGTAGGTATCTAATAATTGTCTTAAAATGTATAATTATGTAGATTCAGAGCCTAAACGAGTTCGAATCATTGACAAGTAAGATCGATAAAAAGGGAAGATAAGAGATTGGAATGGACTAGTGAGGCCAGGTGAGTGCATATTAGTATTATATGATGTTAAATGGAAATAAGACTTGCGACAAGTCTATTTCCATAATAAAATGCATGAATTCATAAATAGAAGTATATATGCGTATGATTTATATGTGTTGTAATGTTATTGTATATATGTATTATATGGTTGATGTGAATATGTGATATGTTATGATGATATAAACCATATGATATGATAATAAATTATATGAA